TCCTATACTGTTCTTAACATCCCCCTGTCTATTCTGTACCTACCAATTTGTACTTTTAGCCTTGCACATTTTCCCCCATTCTCCCCCTTCCCTCTTCTAATTGATAACCCTCCAAATGATCTCCACATCTATGAGTCTGTTCCTGTTCTCTTTGTTTAGTTAGTTTTTTAGATTTAATTGTTAATAGTAGTGAATTTATTGCCATTTTATTATTCATAGTTTTGATCTTCTTTTTCTTAAATAAATCTCTTTAACACTTCATATGGCAATGGCTTGGTGGTGATGAACTCCTTCAGTTTTACCTTGTCTGGGAAGCACTTTATCTGCCCTTCCATTCTAAATGATAGCTTCACTGGATAGAGTAGGCTAGGTTTTAGGTCCTTGCTTTTCATCACTTAGAATAGTTCTTGCCAGTCCCTTCTAGTCTGCAAAGTTTCTTATGAGAATTCAGCTGGCAGTCTTAAGGGAACTCCTTTGCGGGTAACTCTCTGCTTTTCTCTTGCTGCTTTTAAGATTCTCTCTTTATCTTTGGCATTTTAATTATGATGTGTCTTGGTGTGGTCCTCTTTGTGACCATTTTGTTTGGGACTCTCTGTGCTTCCTAGACAGGAAATTTCCTTCCCCAAATTAGGGAAGTTTTCTTTATTTTTTCAAATAAGTTTACAATTTCTTGCTCTTTCTCTTCTCCTTCTGGCACCCCTATGATTCAAATGTTGGTATGTTTGAAGTTGTCCCAGGAGCTCCTTAGCCTATGCTTGGTTTTTTGGATTCTATTTTATTTTTGCTGTTCTGATGGAATGCTTTTTTTATTCCTTATGTTCCAAATCACTGATTTGATTCTTCGCTTCATCCACTCCGCTGTTGGCTCCCTGTAAGTTTTTATTTCATTTAATTTTTGCCTATGACTTTTTATGTTGTTGAAGTACCCACTGAGTTTTTTGAGCATCCTAATACCCAGTGTTTTGTACTCTACATCTGATAGATCGCTTTTCTCCATTTTGTTTAGTTCTTTTTCTGGAGTTTTGTTCTGTTCTTTCATTTGGGCCATATTTCTTTGTCTCCTCATTTTGACACTTTCCCTGTGTTTGTTTCTTTGTATTATGTAGAGCTGCTTCAGCTTCCTGTCTTAGTAGCGTGGCCTATTTTAGAAATGCGTACCCATAAGTTGGATGGGGCAAAGCCTTAGGTAATTGCCAGGGTAGGGCAACCTGTGCGAACCAGGTTGATGGGAGTCTCAGATATGGTGCATCTGGTCTGTGGTTCTGTGTAGGGGAGGGCTCAGAAAAGGGGCCATGATGCTATCTGTCCTCTGGAGTTTTGTCTGGGCGCAAGCTGTTCCCCAGCACTTGCCCTGGTGCCAGACATTTCAACTTCTTCCCCTTATGCCACTGGTGCCTTTCTAGTTGTTGCCCTCATGCTGAAGCCCAGAGGGAGTGAATCCTAAATCCATTGAGGGCCCTTTAAGAAGAGGTGCCTGAGAATCCTAGTTTCCTCTGCCACATGAATCCCCACTAGTTTTTGCAGCCAGAAGTTATGGGCTTTTTGTCCTGGCACTGGAACCCTGGGCTGCATGGTCTGGTGCGGGGCTGGGATCCCTCATTCCTGAGGTATCCCTCCTGATTTTTATTCACCACGTGGATATGGGACCTCCCATTCCATGTCTCTGCATCTCTGCCCCTTCTACCCGCCTGGATGAATATGGCTTCTTTAATTCCTTGGTTGTTGCACTTCCATACAGCTCGATTTTCTGACAATTTTGGGTGACATTTGTTTTGTAGTCTAGTTGTAATTTTTTTCTGTGGTTGTGCAAGGAGGCAAGCCGTGTTTACCTACACCTCCATCTTGACTGGAAGTCAGAAATGCCTGTCTCAGCCCTGCCTAAATTGGTGAGCTTCAGAATTAAGAATAAGTGATTCTTGTTTTAATACAAGATTTGGTATAGTGTTCCTCCTCCAGTCAGTAGCTGTCTCAGTTCAATTCCAGACTCTTTCCATAACTGTAAAATGCCACTCAATTTCAACACCCATTTCAACTGGTATTTCTTCCAAGAAGATTTTTCTGATTTCCTCAATTAAAATCAATTTTGATGTTTCTGTTCCTTTTGTAGCTGTTTTCTTAGTGTGCCTTGTAGAACTGTTTATTGTGCCACTCATCTTGGCTACCCATAGCTAGTAAGTGGACACCGAGAAAAAACAAGTGAGCCTGGATCTATAAATCTGAGGACCAGATGCTGGAAGGTTTTATTTCAAAAAATCCAAGAATAGACCCCCTACGGGTCTCCTGTGGCATCAAGTCAGCCTCTCACTCTTACAGCCTTCTTGGATTATGACGACGTAGTCATAAACAAATGCCAACAGGAAGCAAGATTTATTGGACTGGTAGCAATTAAACTCTGAAACTATGTTGTATTCATGCTGAATATTTCTTGAAGTTCTATTTGTAATTATTCTAACGTAAAAAAAAATGAAAAAAAAACCAAAGTGCATCTTAGTTTAGATGTGATAACTTTCCCTTAAGATAGTGCTCTCTATCCTTGCTAGAGGTGGGAGAAGGACTAAATTATCATCATGTTTATGTTACATGTTGAATTAGTTTTGTTTATAAATGTTATACTCAGATAAAACTTTGTTTTGGCCACACAATAGAACACAATATATAAGGCTGGAGAGATGTTTTAATTACTATTAACTTTATTTTTCTATATAAACTAAAGCAATTGAGATGATAGTGATTAGTCTCTCAACCGAAAAGGCTTCAGGGGATTGGTTGTGGGGGAGGATTTAGGAAGAGCAAACAGGCCTGTGTTCTGATAGAAAGCAGCAAAAAGCATGGCTGTTAACACAAGATTGAAATACAATTGGAAGTAGTATGTTACCCATCTTGTTTGCTCAGTTGCAAACTCAAATTCCAATTTTACTCTTTAAAATTTCTTCCATGGAATAAGCAATCAAATATGTGGGGATAAATCAGCAGTAAAGTCATGGGGTGCGTGTGTGTGTGTGTAGACAAGGTAGTGGTGGTTGTCATATTAAATATTTACATCAACCTTCACATTCATCCTCAAAACAAAATTCATAATGGAAAAACCTAGGGTATAAGAGATAAGGGTTACCACTTTTACCTTTACATTCTTTTTCTTTCAAAATAAAAATATTCAATAATTAAGGCTCTTTTCTCCTTTAAAATGTCTAGTGTTGAGTTCTCTATTCAGATGAACTTCATGGGTGAGCTACAAAGAACTGAGACCAACCCTAAAATAATCCAGAAGCCATTCTGTGAAGTTGAAATGTGAAAGGTAATTCCATCTAAGAAAAATTATGCAGTCATTCCATGCGTAATTAGTAACTGCAGGGGAAATTAAGATGATAAAGACACAAATAGGTATACTATAAGGCAAGCTAAGAAAAGACCTGAAGAAGGTTTCAACTATTACAATGGGGATTGATGATGGGGTAGATAACATCAGGCCTGGAAAGATTAGAAAAAGCTTCTCTGAAGACGGACCATTGGAAATTGGCCTCCAAAGTGAATCATATTTTTCAGGCATAGATAAAGTAAAGGCATTCCAGAAATAACCAAAATCTCAGGGGAAGGAAAGTTTAGGACAGTTTCTAGGAATAGATAGTGGTAGATTTGAACTGCAGGATAGGATAGGAAGGCTAAAAGAGCAGTGTTATATACTACAGAAACCATCCCTCTTCCCAATGTTAGTACATTAGCTAGCCTATCCTTGCATTCATACACTTGTGCACACACACACAAATACACCCCAAGCAAACACTTTGGACTTGGTAGATCATAATCAGATGCAGTCTTGGTAGATATCTTCACCATACACCACTGCTATTCTCTCCTTGTATTTAATTTCACCTTCAAGAACTTGTGATAGTTTCAGTGTCATGGAATCTCATGACTTCTGTTTCACAGTCCAATGGCCAGATTTCAATATCATCACATTTCATGTTCTATTCTGTTGTACTTTGTGGATGGGAGGGCACTCTAATGTGCTCCTCCTTCTCCAATGCCATACAAGTGTTTTGGTTCAGAGAAGCTTGACTAAGAATCAGGTGTGTGTGTGTAGGTGTGTGTGTGTGTGTGTGTGTGTGTGTGTGTGTGTGTGTATGCATGTATGCCTGTATGCGTGTATGTGATGGGTAACCTGCTTGGAGGATTTTGAGTATGGGAATAGCTTAAGGGGCATTTACCTAGGGTCAATATGTAGGAAAAATTGGAGAGATGAGGTAATTGGGAAAACAGTTAAAACTTCACATAAGTACTAGTAGGATCTATGCATAGGTAGGAATAGTGAGAATGAATGAGAAGATCGATTCAAGAGACTTGGTCAAGGTAAAATATAAAAACTCTAAGATTTGATGTGAAGATAAGTGAGAAGGGTGACTACACTTGTACAGGGAATGATAGTTATCAGTAGAAATAATGGTGTCAAAAGAGAGATAGAAAGAAGGTAATGAGCGTGACTTTGAACCTAAGGCATTTACATTTTTCCGCTGATGTTATGTGTAAAGCTAAACTTCCCAAAATGTTATTTAGAAAGAACTAATTAGTAGGAGGAAAGAATGAGATACAAATTTTTTTAAGGTGACCCTTTGCTTCCACCCATATGACCCAGCATGTAAGTTGCATACATGCCCAGTTAACTGGAAGGGGCAGCGAGCAAATTTAAATAATGTATGGATTGCTCTTTGTGGATGATGGGAGCCATGAGTTGACTGTTCCCACAGAAGGTGTCAGTTCCTGCTGGCCTCTACAAGGGTGGACACTGATCTGTTTGTGGTCAGACCAATCTCAAATTTGCCTTTCATATTGACTTTAGAACCTAACCACTCAATAGTATGACCCCATTCTGTGGTTTGGAATAGAGAAATACACAGGGAACTTGGTGTCCAAATATCAGGTGCCTTCACCATCTAAAAACCTTTTTATATCCATGCTTTAAAAGTACTTGAAGTCATTTGACAAAGATGACAATACTTCCAGTCTGGTGTTTAATATTTTTACTTTCCCAGCAGCATAATACCACTTTGGTCAGGTTGAACCACTGCACAATTTTGCAGCTCTTTCAGAAAAATAATAAACACAATTGGAAAGACAATCACATGCAACGATGAGAAAATAGTACTACTGCCCAATTTTTCCGCATAAATGTGAAATATCCTTGGTTCTTCTCCACACTGTGTATTTACTATAAGCCCTTACAGCAAGGGGTTGTTTCTTTCAGGTTTGTTTTTTTTTATTTATTTTTTTGTAGCACCAAATAGACACAGTGGCTTACAAGTAATTCTGAAAAGTCATCAAAATGTTTATATGTCAGAAAATTTATGGATCTGTACTTTCATCCACATCTCTGGCTTGAAGTGTTCTTCATGAGAGAAAGCTGCAACATAGATTGCATCCTGTTTCTGCCACTGATGTGGTTTTTTGACCATTAATACTTTACAAATATCTTTTTGTATACTATAGTTTCAAAGTACTTTTATATACAGTGACTCATTTATTTTAATGTAATGCTGTTCCCCAAGCTACAGAGGATGGTTTTGACATGAGCTCTTGTGTTAGTGCATGGGTTCAAATCCTCGTTCCACCTGTTAGCTGTGTGACCTTGAACAAGTCACATATATATCAGTGCTTCAGTTTTCTTGTCTATAAAATGGAACTTACTACGTACAGTTTTGAAGGGATTCGATGATAGTCTTTTAAAGTACTGAGCATAGTAGAACCTAGAAAGAGCTAAATATTAGTTATGAGTAAATTATTACTTACAGACCTCACTGGGGTGTAACTATGGTGTGTGGAGAAAGTGAGCAGCATTTTTGAGTGGTGTTTAGAAAAGCAAGACCATAAATATGTGCATGGAGTCTTCATGATTTCCATGGGGTTAGGGATTTTATTTCCTTTATCAGCTGTGAAAAGGGACCAAGGGACCTGATAAACAGGAAACTCTACTTATGGCTAGAGTGGTGATGAGGAGGTCCTCAGACTGAGCTCCATGAGGGCGCTCTGTCTTGTTTGCCATTTATTTCCAGAACCTAGCACATATTAGGTAAACAATAATATTTGTTAAATGAATACACACATGGAGAAGTTTTAATAATGATGTCATTAATCTTAAGCTTAGGTACTTTCTAGGAGTCAAATATGGGAGTGATCTTTTGAAAGCAAGACAAGATTTAGAGATGGTAACTCCAATTATTATAAACTCCTTAGAAAAAAGTTGTTAATACATATTGAAGGAGATAATAATATGCTTGATGATGTGACTTGCTTTATTTTTTAACAATAAAAATATAGTTTATAAAACTGATTAATGGACTCCCATGTTTGGATTATCCTTGCCAAGGAGCATCATAAAGAACTAGAAAGTTTGAGTTTTATTCATTGTAAAGCTTTTAGATTCCTGAAACATTATTCCTATCTAAATGTCCTCAAACCCTTGAAGCCTTCGAAGTAATTGATTCCAAACTTATATATCTAGAAAGTATTTGTAAGGAGTCAATTCTAGTTCTCACTATAACATTCAGGAATTATAGTCCCAATTAGTGTAAGTTGGTAAAATATTCAAGTTATCTGAAGGCAAATTTATTTGTGTATTCACCTGTTCTGTCACTCAGTCATTCATTAACAAATACTGACTGCCTGCACTGTGCCAGACATTATATCAGGAGAAAAGGATACAACAGTCCACAAGACAGCCACAGCCCTTTCTCATTTAGTTTGTGTTCTAGAGAGGGTCAAGATGGGTAGGAATATCACAAGTTTGGGGAGATCTTGCCTTATGCTGCCTTCTGAACCTTTAGAGCATAGACTTCTACTTCACAATGCTGTCTAAAGCTGGCCTAACAGGCTGGGTATGATAAACAGAAACTAGCTAGAAGAAATTCAGGCATTATTCACATATCCACAAGTATCTATAGAGGTTTAAAATGTTGACAAAATATTACATCTTGGAGTCCTAGAGGCACAGCTAAGTAAAATAAACTGAGGTCAGATCTGTTTTGATTTGTTGAAAACTGCATTTGTAAATTGGTGCAATTAATCTCCAGGCAAGTTTTTTGGAGACAACCTTGAAGCCCCTTAATGCTAGATTTTGTACTTAGTTCTTAGCACTGTCTTACAAAATAGTGGTAATTCACATAGAGAATCTCCTATTGAGTATATGATGAAGCACTGACCAAAGTCTGTTATTCTTTTCAAAGTCAATTGCAATATAAGCTCATTAACTCCCCAAGGATCTTCTATTTCTATTTCAAATGGTACCAGAATCAAAGTACAAATGCCCAATGAAAAGGTTCTGGTATGTGTATCTGCCTTCAAAATCACAGGAGCAAAGAGTTTAGAAAAATCAGGCCACCAGCTTGACCAAAAGAAAGAAAAAAATTCACGAGGATCACTAAATAGTCACAACTGATTTTCCCCCATACCTTTTAATATCTAGTTTGTTTATTATGTTAAAGATTGAGCTTCATGTAAGAGCAATTCATGTGTTTTTAATGTGATTTTGGGCACGTCAGTAGTTCTAACGTAATCATTAATAATAAAGAGCACTAAAACAAGTAGTGGTAATTGTTTCTGTTACCTCTAGATTCAGGGGAGCTAGAGAACCACAGGGATCCTCTCTAAGTCTTTGGAATGGTTATTTTTGATTAAAACTTTAGGGGGAGACATTTTAACACACGGTTTCACTGAAGAAAACTGACCATCTGACTGGTCACTTGTATATAGGACCACTGTGACATGTAATCTTGTCCTTAGATGCCTTAGCTGTTAATGGGTTGTCCTTTCATGGTGACAAATGGCCTCGCGTGCATTTGTTAGCACTTAAAATTATGCAAATGAAGCATAAAAATACAAAGACTTCTAGAAAACACAAATATAAGGTATCTGCTCATTTGATAATTTTTCTGTAATCCCATGACAATATTTATAATATCGATGTGTATACATGATAATTTAACATTAACCAAACAGAGCTAAATAAAAACATACTCACCTTAAGCTCCAAATTTATACAATGCATTAAAATGTGTTGAAATGACCATTTTCTCATCACAAGGGTTCAACGATCTCCCTGTCTGAGAATCTGTGGCATCGCCTGAATAACTTAAATATTTCTTTGTTAAATGATAACTAAAATATATGTTTTATTAAATTTTTCTTATAAAAATGAGAACTACCTCTTATAAACTGAATATACGTAAGCAGTCTCCATTTGTTTCCTTTAGTCATGCTTTCCTCTTCTGTAAACCTATGCTTGCCGTACAGTCAGGGTCCTCACCCTTGCCCTACCCCCTGGTTCTATCTAGTAAAAAACAAGTTTTCAAGGGTGAGACTCTGTTACCACAGCAGAACTTTGTTGAAATTGGCATGCCTCCTAGTCTCCTTGCTGTTCATTCTCTGTTGGGTGATGGACTATGAAGAGTAGGCAGAACTTGGCATTGGCAATACCACTGGACAGGGCAAAGTAAAATGTGATGGGTAATTCTGATTAGTTTTATTTTATTTTCAAGGGAACAGTTCCTAAACTGAGCTTTGTAAATTTTTAATTTGGAGGACTATCTGCAATGTTAAATTTATTGCATCTTGGGAAATCAATTTTGGCATTTGAGAAAAAAAGAATATTCAAATACTCGCCTCAGTTTTAATGATCTATCTAGTATGTTGCAAGTGTAAATTAGAAATTTATCCTTTTTTCAGGTATGCTTGTGTGCTTTAGGTATTTAATTTAAGTGCACGGATAATTATTGCTTCCTATTCATTCCACAGAGTAAAATCAGACTTACATGCCTAGATTTACCGTAAGTCAAAAGTTATGATCTGCATATGTGGCTTTAACAGATCATGTCCCAGTGAATGATCCTTCCTGAAAGATTAGCTCATTGTCTATTTACCTGCATGAATCTGTGTAATGAAGTAGGCATCTTTATCTTCTAGCAGCAACAGTATCTTTTCATTCACAATATTAATATCACTGGTTTACATATGCCTAATTTTAAAAGGGATAATACTTTGGACCTTAGACTGCCAAAAATATCCTTTTGGAAAACTGATCTAAACTTTGTATCACATACATATTTGTATACATATGCACACATTATAATTTTTTTTTAACCGTAAGCTTTAAAATATCAAATAGACTTCTAGGACAGAACATCAGTGTAAGTGGAAAGAGCTCAGATTTCTCTAGAGTGTGTCAATCAAAAATATAAAACAAAAAATATTGAGAGCAGGGTTATATATAAATATCATATGAAGATCAGTCCATGAAGCTAGGTCCTTTCCTAATTATTCTCTTACCAGATTCATAACACTTGGTAAGAAAAAGCTTAAGTTGGAAACAAATACACTCTGATAATATATATTTTGTGGAATAAATATATATTATATTCTGTTAGAAGTAATAATAGATACAAGCAATACTTAAATTAAAAAAAATACAGTACTAGACTTCTCTATCCTTGCTTCAAGCAAACTAAAATTGAGCTATATTGCCCCACTCTATTAATGCATAATAAAATTCATGGAAACAGAAAATAAAAAGCCAATTGCTTTAAGAACCTGTAAAAGAGTATAAATATAGTATAATTACTTGTTTTCAAGAAGGGAAAGGACATTGAATTTGCAAGTAACTGAATTTCTAATTCTGACAACTCAGCAATATGGATATGAAACAGGTCAGGGTGAGGGGCAATGTGTAGGTTTAGGTGGAGACAATATTGAACTGATGCAGTTTGAACTACAGCCTAATGAGGGATTTGTTAATCTCTGAAAAAGCTGTAGATCCAAGATTCACTTAATCCCGGCCCTGGTGATTTATCTGAAAGTCATGGACTTCAATCTTACACTGTTTCAGTCTGCAGCCTGGAAAGCCTCTCCATTGACACACAGAGAATTCCCACTGCAGTGAATGGAAGGTCTGTGTGTGTGAAGAGCGGTGAGCGGCGGGGGTGCAGCCTCGGAGAAAGAAGGTGTTGAGTTGCCTTGGTAAAGAATTTATACACCACGTGTTCACAGCTTCTTGACAGGTATAATTATCAGCGTTGTCTTTTCTTTTGATTGTGTGCTGGGATTCAGAAGCACGGTTTCGAATTTGTGACTACCAGATGTTTGATCAAGTAGCTTTTCTTCAAGGACCTAAAAGGGGGAAATGAGTGAAGAGAAAATCGTTGATTAGCATTCATTTGTCAACTACAATATGCTAAAAATATCAAGAGAGCATGTGCTATGCGAGAACAGTAAGGATTATTTTGGGTGCTATCATTCATGCACAATCTTCCACATATGAAAAAATTTGTTTGATGTTTGCAAAGGAAGTAATTTTCAAATGAGGATGGAAAAGACACCAGTTGTTCCCTAAAATGAAATAAAGAACACCAGTTTGGAAACATTTCAAATGTAAAAGGCTTCTTCCTCCCAATTCCAGAAAACCCTGTTTTTCTTCATGAAGGCAAAGAATGGCTAATCTTTACATTATGACTCTCAGGGCCGTTAGCAGCGCTCTTGTTGAGGTACAGCAGGAAAAGCCTTTCTCTGACAGGAAGGAAGCACCAATATTTCTTCTCTGAAGCAGTTATTAGGCCCATTTCTTCTCCCCCAAGATCAGCCTGACACATTAGTTACAACAGAGCAGGCAGCCATCAAATGGTCAGATTTGGGGGGGAAGCCTCCCCAGAGACTCCCCTGAGACATGTCAGTCTTCCACCATTAGGGAGTCATTTCCTTCAGAGAGAACAGTGGTTTTCAATCTTTGTGGTTAAAGCTGCAGTTATTTTTATTTCAATGAATGTAGAGCACCATATATAAAACAGATTTTAACAAATTGTTCTGTCTGATGTGAAAGTGGGGCAGAGGGGGAAGGGGCTCACACACGCCTGCCGCCAGGCCTTCTAGAGATGTGCCTAAAAGCTCGTGGGGCCTACAGAGCGTGACTGAGAGCCGGGTGAGGTCACTGTGCTCCTTCAGGAGACACCTAACAAGACATTGCGTGTTACCTCTGCCATTAACACTTTGAACAACTACAGCACGATGATGACAACTACCAATACTACTACTGCCACTACTGCTACTACTACTTCTGAGTGCTCACTAATTGCCACATATAGTCAGAGCAACGCAGGGAGAGGACATGACATGACAACTGTGTCTGGTTTGGAAAACGGATGATGGTTCCCCAAGGCAAGGAATGCTTGCAGCCTCTAGGAGCTGCAAAAGGCAAGGGAATGATTTTTTTCCCTAGAGCGTCCTGGAGCCCAGTGGCACTATGTTGGACTTCCGTGCTATAGAATTACAACATAATAAATTTGTGTTCTTTTAAGTAACACAATTTGTGGTAATTTTTCAGGGCATCTATAGGAAACTAATATGGCTACAATAATGAAGCACTTTGAAGTTGGGGCACTGTTTGGGAAGAAAGTGGTGATGGTGAGTTGGATAACTCCAACTCTAAGCAGCGTGAGAATGAATCTCTAGAAATCTCACGTATGTCTGTGAGGAAGGACGGAGGGATATAAAGGCAGGTGCCACTGAAGAAAGGGGTAGAGTAGCACTGTGGTGAAGAAAAAGAGGCTCTGAAGCCCATGTTTATGGGTTTGAATCACTGCCCTACCACTTACTGTGTAAAATGTTGTGTCAACTTCTAAAAATCCTACATGACTTAGTTTCTTTCTTTGAGATTGAAAACAGCACCTAATATTCATAGGATGATGAAGATTAAGAAATTTTATATATAGAATATATATATAGAATTTATATATAGAAATTAAGCAATTTTATACTGCTTTTATATAAAATTATTAAAGCAATTATATATGTGTGTCGTGTGTGTATGTATATTTCTTAAAAGAGTTCTTGGCACACACTGTTTGATAGATTTTAACCAGCATTATGATGATTATTTCTGGTCCACTTTCCAGTTTGGTGACTCTGGATTCCTTGGCTTCAGTTTCAGAGTCACCCTCCGGGACCTGGTCCTCTCCATGCCTGGCAGTTCTGGCAGAGTTCCCTGGATCGGAGCATCAGCCTGTGGCTGTGGCCGGGGCAGTGACAGGTAGAGAACAAGGAGTAATGGACACAATAAGGAAAGTGAGGGCCTGAAGAGTGGGAGGAGAAAAAAGTCAGCAAGGCCTCTGGCAATTGCCAGCTGCTTTGTAAATCTGCTAAGATCCAGCCTGGTTTTGAATGTAAATGAATTCACCACCCTTGTTCCAGCAACAGGAGGTCAGATAAGTTAAAGAGGCTTGTGGCTGACTTCCTCAGAATGCTGATATCTCAAAAAGTGTTCTTCTTTTCTACTTTCATTCTTTGGGAATTTAGGTGAAATATAAAGTATATATTTTCATACTTTATGAATGTATATTAAGTCAGACTTTAAAAAAACGAGATGCTTAGCCCTCACTGGTGTGGTTCAGTTGGATGGAGGTTGTCCTACAAAGCGAAAGGTCACAGGTTCAATCCCCAGCTAGGGCACATGCCTGAGTTGTGTTCCGCTGGTCCAGGCCATATGAGAAAAAACTGATCAGTGTTTCTCACACTGATGTTTCTCTCCATCTTTTTCTCCCACCTTTCCCCTTGCTCTAAAAATAGTTAAATAAAATCTTAAAAAAGAAACAAAACTGAGATGCTTAAAGCTGAATAAATGTCAACTCTCAAAACACTAATTCTAAAGAATATATGTATCTCTATGTTCATTGCAGCAATATTTACAATAGCCAAGATATGGAAGCAACCCAAGTGCCCATCAATAGACCACTGGATTAAAAAAAAAGTTGGAGTACATATATACAATGAACTATTACTCAGCCATAAAAAAATGAAATCCTACCATTGTGACAGCTTGGATGGACCTAGAGGTTATTATACTAAGTGAAATAGGTCAGACAGAGAAGACAAATACCATATGATTTCACTTATACATGGAATCTAAAGAGCAAAATTAATGAACAAACAAAATGGAAACAGACTCATAGATACAGAGAACAGACTGATGGCTGCCAGGTGGGAGGAGGATTGGTGGGCTGAGGGGAAAAAGTGAAGGGATTAAGATGTACAAATTGGTAGTTACAAAATAGTCATGGGGACGTGGAGTGCAGCATAGGGAATATAGTCAATAATGTGTGATAACTATCTATGGCACCAGGTGGGTACTTGAAATATAGAGGGGACTCCTTTGTAGGGTGTATGGTTGTCTAACCACTATGTTGTACACCTGAAACTAATACAAAGTAATATTGAATGTAAACTGTAATTGAAAAATAAAATTTTAAAAAGTGGGTATAGTGCCCTGGCTGGTGTGGCTCAGTGGACTGAGTGCCAGCCTGCAAACCGAAAGGTTACCAACTCGATTCCTGATCAGGGCATATGCCTGGGCATGCAAGGGGCTACTGACTGGTGCATTTCTTGTACATTGATGTGTCTTCCCCTCTCCTTCTCCCTCTCTTCCCACCTCTCTAAAGAGAAATAAATAAAACCTTGAAAAAAAAGTGCATATAGCATTAAAAAACCTATATTCATATTCCTTGTTTAAATATCTGTAATATAATTATGTAGTGATCATTTCTACTACATTTTAGAAAATGTAATCTATTCTTCCTGATTATCAAACATGGAAGTTGGAGGAAAAAAACAAATGCATTTTACTCCGATAGAGTTTAGCATTAGAAGTAGGTATGAGACATTCTCCACATACTACCTGCATTCAATATATTTTTCCATTTGTATCCACCTGTGAATATTGCTAATTACTCCATAATTTAAATGATCTCAGATTTTTAAAAAAGTTATTTCTAATTCACAGAATAGAAGTTATATTTTGTGTGATAAATAATAACATCTGACAAGTATTTTGCTTTACCTGATCTTTGCTCGACTTGTCAAACCTAGAAAAATATCAGTGACCTGTTCAAAGTAAATAGGTCAAATTAGCTTCAAATCTCTTTGGAAAAGCAACCATGGTATCAGTTACTAAGTGTAACAAATTCCACTTCATCCTTAAAAATCTTAATCAGTAGTTGAACAAGAGCTAATGTAGGTCTCTGACTGCAAAATTCATCACAAAATCTACGGGTGACCTGACTTGGTTGTATTCTGCTTGTACTTGAAATGGTCACTACAGTTTTATCTCAAGGAGCCAGGACAGCGTTGATTGAAAGTGCCGTCTTGGTGGGCATAAATGTGTATTTCATGTTCATGCAGACAGAGCTTTACCAGATCCTCTGCAAGAAATTACATAGCTTGCAAATGCCTTTTATTAAAAATGCTAGTCTTTGGTGATGACAACCGGAAATTCTGAAATGATTTAATGAAGGCTGATGGAACAGAGAAATGGAATCGAGTATATGGCCCAGGAAGTATTTATGGCCAAACCGTATACTTCCAAAGATGACTGAATGAGCACGATGTTGTAAGTTTTTAGTAAGACCTCAGAAGTCAGAATGGCAACATATTTCTTTCAAAATACTACAGAAAAGTTTTACTGCAGGCCAATAGTATATCAATTAGCAGAACTGGTGTAAGTTTATAATATTGAGGATGGAAGAGAAAAATGAGTTAGTGGAAAGACTGTCAATGTTTGACTAAAAAATTGTGAATTGTTGCTATTAGCAAAAGACCTTTGAAAGGATGATGAAAGTACAAATGTAAAGTACCTTTACATTCAGAATGGATAAGAGAAGGATATGGACAAAATGTCTGGTCCGTATGCATCCACGTCACTCTCTGTCAATGGTGTCATTCTGGTCCAAGCCATCATATCTCCTGCCTGGATGACTAAATAATAGCCTCCTGACTGGTCTCTGTTTCCACTCTTACCCTGCAATAATCTATTCTCCCTACAGCAGCCAGAGTGATCTTTTCAATACCTAAATCAGATCATGTCACGCCCTTGCTTAAATACCTTGAATGGCCTTTGTTGCAATAAAATCTAATTTCCCTCAGTGGTTTACAAAGCTTCCTGTGATCTGCCCCCCCTCTACATCACTTTCCTTCTCCCTCATTATTCCCTAACTCCCCTGGCTCTCTTTCTGCTCCGCAGGCATCAAGTAGCTAGCAACAGGCTTTTTCCTCCCGTCTGCCCGCTTCCTGGCTTCTCCCACTCATTCAGTCTCAGCTTTAATGTCATCTCCTTTTGAGAAGTTTTCCCTTATCACCTGATTGAAAGTCATGACCTAACCAGTCTCTGTCAAAAAACCCTGTTTTAGCTCTGCGAAGTGCTGGTCCCCATAGGATATTTTAATTGATTTGTTTATTAATTATCTCCTTCAACGAGATTTTAAGCACCGTGAGACCAAGGACTTTGCTTAGCCTGTGCAGGTTCTACAGCCCATTGAACAGTGCCTGGTCCATCACAGCGCTAAATATTTATTGTTGAAGAAACATAGTTTTTAGAATGGACTGGAGTTTTATATAAAGGCACCAAAGTAAGGTGTATATATAATAAGACTAGCAGGCTATAGAAGAAAGACAGATTGTTGAATTCCAAGCCTCTCTGAGGACATATCCCATACTCTTTACTTTGGCATGTAGCTTCTGCTTTTCATAAGCAGCACAAAAAACTTGAGTGTCACAGAAAATTGCAAGTTCCATGTCATATCCAGTGTTTCTGGTTGTGTGAGTAATAACCTGACATTGAAGGAGTTAAAATCATCATTATCCATGTCATTCTTCTAAGGACATTTGAATCTCATTTCAAACACACACTTGCAGATATCACTGTGTAGAGGTATCTAGCAATGAACTGTGGCTTCCAAAAGATGGCAAGGAAATTTCACATGTCTCCAGAATATCTGATGTTGGCAGTTGAAATTCTTGGTAAAGTGAGAAAGAAAATAATTCTGTCAGTATGATCATGGGGAATCCGCTAAAGTTATTGAAGCTTCATCTAAAAAATGGGGTTTTAATGATACTTGCCTTGAAGGGTTCTTGTAAGGATGAGGGATAACATGTGAGAAGAGCTTAGAACATAGCAGCCACTTCAAAGATGGTGATTCTTAAAGATTTTTTTCTCGAATTTTCTTAATATATGTAGCAAAATATGATTTCGTATTCTTTGTCACAAAGTGGAATTTAGAAAATGACAGGTGCACCTTAGACACATTCTAAGTGAACATCCAAAGAGAATTTCAAAATCTCTCGTAGTGTGGACACGGACAGGGCTTTACTTCTTTGTTTTCAGTGAAGCAGTTTTCTAATAAGCCGTGTTTCAGTATTCTATAGGGGATCTTCCCAGGATCAGCCCTGTATGGTTGTTTGGTCGGTACACTGTGCCGAGGCAGCGGGCCCAGAGGGTGAGTGGGGAGCTGGATTTCAGCCCCCATTCTTTGTGCCTGAGGATTGGGGTTTGCTCAGAGGTTACATTTTCCTAACTTGTATAAAAGCATCCAATAGTCTGTGCCTAGCCCTCCCAAAGTATACTATTTTCCAAAATATATCTTTTCCATTTGCAAGGAATATGGCTGAAGGACACAAAAAGCAAGCAACTATAGTATTTACATTTTCTGAGATTATTTTTATTTGTTTGTTTGTTGGTGGGGATATATCTTATCATTTTGTTCCAGCTAAGAAACTGTATTTTAAAAAAAACAAGCAAACAAAAAACAACTAGGCTATGTAATGGACTTTCCCCGTGTAGAAGAAGATGCTTCTCACCTATGACATGTGGTTTTGCTGCGTTTGTTGCTGCTGCTGCTGTTGCTGCTGCTGAATTAGCAGCTGCTGCTGCTGTCGACGCCGGGCTGTCCGCAGCTTTTCAAAACGAGCCTCCATTTCTTCCAGGACTTTCGGGGTGTATCGCACCACCAGCTTGACGCTGTCCTTAGCAGCCTTGAGGAGTTCCACGGCCTTCTCATGGTGTTCACCTTCCACACTCTGAAAAGACAGTGACATTTCTTAAAGGGGAGAGCTTCTATGTTTTTTTTCCTGAGCAACAAATCTGAAGTTAGTAGCAAAAAATCCCAAAGTTTGAAATTTCAAGAAGGCATTGCAAATAGAGTTAATTGCCAGTAACGTCATTATTATTTAGTACTTCTGTGGTTGAACTATAACCAGGTCAGGATATCCTGGAGTACAGAATGGACTGAATGGGGCTTCAAGTTAAGAGGGTGAGAAATAATAAAGACCTAAAATATGACACTAACATTTAGAATGGGATCTCAAAATTTTATCTGGAAGAATAAATACACCAGTCAGGAAAATTTTGAAAAAAATTTAAATATAGTCATGAAGCGTGACTTTTCTATCAGATATTAAAATTTATAAAGAAGCTACAATGAGTGAAGTTGTGTCTTACTGGTGTAATAAGAGACAGAACAGAGAGTCCAGAAGATCTACCATATGTAAATTTTATTATATGATAAATGTGGAATTTAGTTCAAAGGGGAAAAGGATTATTAAATAATGATGCTGGGACAAATAAATAATAATTAAATGACCTCAATTTCATAGTCAATGCTAAGTATAGTAGATTGATTAAAAATTTAAATGAAAAAATAAAACCATAAAACAACTAAAATACAATGTAGGTGAACACTCATTATATTGAAATGAAAAAGTAATTTTTAAGTAAAAGTACCAAAGATAAAAATCATGAAATCGGATTTAAAAATTTTAAGTTCCTATTTCTCACACACTATAAAAAGGTAAAAAAAAACCCCCAACAAGAATGAAGATATTTTCAGTATATGACAGTTTGTTAATATTCTTCAAATGAAAAGCTCTTACAAGTCAACAATGATCTAAGCAAAACAGGCAAGTGAACTCATGGACAAATAATAATTTTAAAAACCCATATATTCAATAAACCTAGGAAAAAATGTTCAAGCTCCCTGCTAATCAAATACAGATAAAGACATATTTCATTTTTAATTTAAAATAGGTAAATATGTATTTTCAAATATAATGTATTGACAAGAATATAGGAAAATGGGACTTTCGTACACTGATAATAACTTAACAAAAACTGGCACAACTTTTTTGGAGACCACTATTGTTACACACTGAATAAACCTTTTGTAATATAATAAATAGTTTTACTTGCAGAGAAATTTATGAAGGATATAATCAAAGATGACCATACCTACAAAGTAGTTATAATGTAACAGAAAGCAAAAAACAAATCAATTCTTGGCTTTTGAGTTTCAAAATAATCATTTGAACGTAATGGCACAGACAATAGCTGGGGAAACTATATTTACTCTAAGTTAATAACAAAGAGACTTCTCTCCAACCTTCTAATGCTTCTCCAGGTTGGAATTACGGAGAAGCAAGATAGGGTAAAGTAGTAATAAGACATTATAGGACCCTACCCTGGCTGGTGTGGCTCAGTGGATTGAGTACTGGCCTGGGAAGCAAAGGGTCACTTGTTCGATTCCCAGTCAGGGCACATGCCTGGGTTGCGGGCCAGGTCCCCAGTAGGAGCAAGCAAGAGGCAACCATACATTGGTATTTCTCCCCCTCTCTTTCTCGCTCCCATCTCCTCCCTCTAAAAATAAATAAAATCTCAATTAAAAAAAAAAGACATTAAAAGAATAGAGACAATGTCCTTCCCTCTCAGCTGATCCCCAGGGCAGATGACATAACCTGCCAAGATTTACAGGACTGAAATACAAAGGCCTTTCTGATTTTCTTCCTGGATAAAGCTCAGAGAAGAAACATTTATGTGGTGAGACAGATAGGGACTGAGGTCGGCTTAAAAACTGCCAACACTCCTCAGAGTGGAACTGAAGGAAACCCCCACTGTTTGAGATTACATTTTCATAGACCGAGTAGAACTATAAAATGGATATACTATTGAGTTACAAAAAATAATTTGCATTTCAAGCATACTTCAATTATATCTTGAGTTTCATATTCCTACTATTATATAGATTAGATGTTAAGATTTAAGGTAGTGTGTTCCATTCCGTGCTCTGCTTCAGCAAGGTGCATGCGGACTGAGATTAAAAAAAGAAAAGGTTTGAATTTAGGGATGAGACAGTCACTGGTGGCCTATAGAGCACTGCTTCAGTCATTTGTCAGGAAACTAGGCAGATATTAAGGATTTAAGAAATGACCATTGTTAACCCTGTAAACAATGTGTGTTACTACTCCTTTGCCAACTCTGGGTTACATAGAGAGCAAGGAATTATAAATAGCTGATGGGCAGACGAATTTTTATTTGTGGCTGAGTCTTAGGAAAATAGGTTTGTTCATTGATTAATTCATTCTCTTTATTATTCACTCAATCATTGAGTTGGTCACTAAACAGATGTTTATTAGCACTTATTTTACTAGTTAGAGTTGCAGTTCTTTGGAAGAACATGAAGGACAATAGAAACTTTGTGCAATATAAACTCTATTTTCAGTGTGCATGCAATTTCTTTGTAATTTGTCTCAATGTGAATTGTTAATGTATGGAATTCTCTTTTAAAAAGGAAATTGGGTGATTTGGTTGTCCATTCCCCTCTCTCACTTCTTTTTAATATTAAAACTTAGGTGTTTGTATGTTTCAATAACTGCAGTTCATCATTTTCCAGGCTTGATGATTATAGTCTCCAGGTTTCTTTTTGGCTCGTGTTCTATTTGCTTTCATTTAACAGGGCTGGAAATTCTAGGCCAGACCTGTAGAGGCCCATTATCCCAGTTTAGGCACTAGGCCTGCGATTTAGAGTTGCCACAGGAGGGCTGTGGTGCTAATACATGGGACCATTAGGCTCTCAGCACTGGGAACAGCTGAGAGACAAATGGCCCGTGTGCCATCCCCAGGCCCGCAGACCTGTCAGGGTGACCGTCTCCCACCCCCAGCTCTGCTCTCTCCCATACACACAGGTGGCAATTAATGAACAGCAGACTCCATGGTCTTTGAATCCAAAATGTTTGCCTTGATGCTGCGTCTCTGGTTTAGATGATGTCTCAGATTCTGGCTCAGCAGAGTTAACAGGCCTCCTGGTTTAATCTACCTTTTACTTCATCTTCCTCACCAGAGCACAGAACCATTGCCTAAGACCTGGGTAGAGTGTCATGCTTCATTTCTACTACTCAAAATGCTTTGTTAAAATTATATAAATTACTACATGAGTAAATGGTGTAATAGAAACTAAGAGGTATCTCTTTGAGAGAGATTTGAAAAAATATAAACATCTTTGTAGAATTTATTTTTCAAATACTACTTAAATTTGTTTTTTGCTGTTTCCTGAAAAAACTTCTTAACTCGTCTCAAAAATTGTTCTGCATGACACTCTCTCTTTATTTTTGTTTCCTCCCTTTGCCTATGTTATGGATATCTTTGAGTGCGTATGTTTGCCTCCTTAATTTATTATTTATCTCTAATAGTGCTTTTAGTCCGTCTGTATAATGAGAATAAGGCACTTTTCTCTCTTCTTTCTCTTTTAAAATAAGAACAGAAAAGCAGACTACCTTCACAGTGGTGTAGAAACACTTGGTAACAAGAGTTCCTTGAGCCCTGAAATTTTATCATTTATTCCTACTTTTGACTTAGTCTATTTCTCACTCTTAATAAATGTAAGCCTTATTTCAAGATAAATATTTAAAACATGTTTTGAAATATTGTATTTGTAAACAAATAGTTTATATCACCTCTCTCATATATATGTATCACCTCTTCATATATACATATATATGTAGTGTGTGTGTGTGTGTGTGTGTGTGTAAAATTTTCCTGATTCAGGAATTGTCCTTTATGACAATTGGCTCAGTTTGAGGGGTCACTGAAAACTTGCAGCACCAGCCTTTCACAGAGCATGATAATGTAGCCCTTAAGTGATTTGAGGACACCTAGGAAGGCTTCCAATTTAAAGTGAAATCCCTTCCTCCATTTAAAACCTGAAAGTCTATCCTTTCTTTAAAAACTGTTTATACTTTCTAAAAGAAATTTTGGACTTTTAGATTTCGTTCCTTGCTTTTAGGGTTGTGTTGTATGTATTGAGATTTGAGGAAGTCATCAGCATGGATTTATTCAACAAGACTTTCTAACAAGCATCTGGTCAAAGATAGATGTTATTACGGGGGGAAGGGCTGGAAAAGAAGGCATAGGGATGTCCTAGGTACTCAGCAAACACTTAGACCAAAGAGAAGTGTGGTCCTGAAAAAGAAAAACTCCTAAAGAAAATATCTGCCCCACAGTTGTGCCTATTCTGGCCATGAGCATTCACTAAAATCAATTAAAATGCACTAAGAATAACATACATCCCAATCATGAAAATATTTCTATCTTTTCCTGCTAAATTAAAAAAAAACCCAAAGAAATCAATAGTGTAAGGAGATTCAAATAATTTTATTATCATTTCCAAATGCATAAATACAAGCTAATAAAATACTAAACTTATGTAAAACCATAAGCATGGTATCTTCTGTAATGATTCCATAAAAAGGAATATATGTTCATTTAGGAAGCTGGGGAAAAAATAGCTCAGTAAATAACCAGATGTATATTTGTTTCATTAGCAATCTCATGCAGTAGTAAGCCTAGGAAGCCTTAAAATTAGTTACCTTGACAGAAGTTTAGCGAATCAGTGTCTGGTAAATTAAACATTGCTGAACTCTGATATTTCATTCGTTTTTCTCTCTCCACACATTGTGAGATATAAAAATGGATGATATTTTCTGGTACACTTAATTTTCTGGTCGATTACAAATCTTCTCTCATAAGAGAGTTTTGGATTGCACTGTATACGTGAATTTGCTCTTTCCCCCTTTGCTAGTTGATACATTTTGACACTTGCGAGACCTCAAACAGAACAGGTGCCAGCCCTGGGGAGGAATATTGTTATCTGTGCGCAGTCACTGCTCAACGGCCCGCTCCCAGATTTATATGCAGGGCTTTCTCTCTAGGGATTATATGAACACAATCCTGACCCAATGTGTTGATATGT